TAATTGTTAGCGATTTTTTGGCAACACAGCAACAGATAAAAAATCTTTTCGTCTTTTTTTACACATTATTTTTTACCACGTTACAAACACACCATGTTGAGATTAAATCTTCATATGCCTTATGTATTAATGTATGTTTGTACGTGTTCATATGTGTATGTATGCATGTTATACATGTACGCATGTGTATCTGGATAACTCAACCTTACAGTTATGAGTAAGCGAAAAAGTAAAAATTTTAAGAGCACACTCACTGATCGTGCATGGGTCGCAAACTTAGAATCAATAAACAGACTTTGCTCTGTCCGAAATTTTCACATCAGATCCAAACTGAAATGCTGTGATTTGGGGGTGTAACTATGGGTGCTAGATTTGCAGGTTTAATCCACTGTAGTCAGCTTCCAAACCTTACAAGCGCAAGTTTAAATTCTAGTTGAAAGCGATAACTGGACGTTTTATATTTCAAATAAGGAATTTTCGATCTAGAACCCTCATTTTTCCAGACCGTTAACCCAAGTAACACAGTGGGCTTGATGGTGTTTCCTTTCAGCCAGACAAGCGACACAGTTGAGATTTTCGACGCTTTGATTCAGAAAATCATTGCAGGGCCCCGGGTAAACAGTCAAGTTTTGAATTTATTTTTCGGAGAACAACCACAAATCAGTAAGATTTAAGGAAATGCTGAATCTCAATGGCTTCAACCACTCTAATGGCTTCAACCAAAAGTCGCGTAACAATATAAACGTATCTGCCTACCAAGCGCCCACTAAAATGTACACTCAAGCGGGTTTCTCTTGCTGGATGCCGCTCTGTTTATTGATTGGCGGTTGAATGACAAAAATTATTAGTAATCGGCGAAATTTTGGGGAACATTAATTTAGAAAGGCGAGAATTTCACACAGAGAAAGGGGACGGGTGGAGGAGCGGAGATGTTGAGGGAAGGCCGCAGCTGCTACAGCAAGAAAACGATACCAGAGCAAATTGTTAATGAAACACTGCACTGCTAATGAATGATTATTTACTGCTTGGATTTTTCGTATTTTTAACAAAAACAAAAATATGTGATGGTTTTTGCATGTAGAAAGCATTAGTAGCGTAATGAAGCATCGAAGATAGTAATCAGCGTACGAAGAACGGCCAGAGAGGACCTGCGTTAAAGCAATGGAAAAACAACAGGTCTTCAGCCATTTGTGTAAGCAAAGGAGAAAGATATGCATAATTTATAACATTTCAATATAATTTAGCTTATTTGTTAAGAAAAATTCCTTATCGAATAGCTAATCTCTGGAAAAATGAAAATCAGCGAGACCCCTGCCAATGATTTGAACATTCCCAACCACTATTTTCATGATCAATCTTGCAAAGAAAAACGGTTTAAACAGCATTGTGCTTATTTGTGAATGTCATAAACTCATCTCGATGAGCACACATCCCGCCCGCCGTTAACGCTCATTCTTCCCAGAAGTCACGGAGAACTTATTAATCTGAATGCGTCCGCAAACATACTTACACGT